TTGCGGGGCTTATTGCTTAAGTGAAAAATTAGAATGTTAGCCCCGCCCCTCCTCCCGATATCATCGTCCGTCGCGATGTTTCACTGTACACATCGTCTGATGCCAAATTGGTAGACATCGCACAACCCTAGTTCCTATAACTAAGTTCCTGTAACTACTTGATCGGAAAGCGGCTAATGCATAGGATGATGCACTAGGGTCCACTGTAGAGGTTGATGTACAATAAGGGTGCTCCGATTGATCGGTCGCCGATCACAATCGGCCGATAATTGCTTTGGGATGTGTGATCGGCAGTCTCTATAAAGGCCGATCAAGAAAAGCCGATCAGATGACGCAAAACTCGCGAGACCATTTTTTATGCCGGGTTACGGGTTCTAATCCGTCAAGCAGGGACACGTTTCTGTGCATGCATTTTATTTTGTGATTTCACCGGAATGAATAGAGAGTCTCCTCCACAACGGTGATAGATTGAAGCGCGCGTCTGAGTGAAGATTGCGCGAGGCCGCGAGCCACAGAGAACACTGTATCCATGCAACTGATCGCCGCGGCAACGAGCGCTCAGCTTGAGTTAAAAACAACACATTTTAGCGCTAGATCTCTTATTTAATAGCGAACTAAATGAATGCTCTGCTAGTTAACTGGAGATGTTTTATTTATTTGTATTAGGTACATCCGTGCGTGCCTCAGTGTTACAAAAATTGGTGGGACAATATCAATCCTTAGAAACAGTGGTGAGACACGACTTCACTGGATCTAAACAAATCAATCTAACCATAGATGTGACCAGTAGTGGTGGCTTTCTTAATCTGTTTAAAATAATTGTGCAAGGGTTCTCGCAAAAAAGAAAAGAAAAAAAAGACCAAAATATTGATGCTTAAGAAGTATTTGTATTTGTTGTTTTTTTGTGTGTTTTTTCTGCTGTGCACTTTACTACCTGTGGTCCTTTAAGTGTATTAGAAAAACTGATGGCTGACTGACTCAAAACATTATTTTGGCTATAGCCTTTTTTGTTGTAGTTTTTAGTTTAAAGTAGTCTAAAGCTAAATTTAAAGAATGAATCAAATGTTCTGTCTATTTTATATTCTACAGGAAAGTTGTATTTGTCAAGCCCTAAGCTGTTCCCAATAACCAAGCACAGGCTGGTAAGTTAATATGCTGGACATGTTGCTTGCAAATAAATACACAGGTGTCAATTCATGATACGTTGTATTCTCTTAATTGTAATACTTAATGTACAATGATGTTAAATATAGTTGAATAAATAATGCTACATGATAAATAGAAGGCTTCAAATAGACCCTGTAATCGGTGATCGGTATCGGGTGATACAGCTTCCAGTAATCGGGGATCGGTGATCGGCCCCAAAAATCCTGATCGGAGCACCCCTAATGTACAACTATGTAATCAAAACCCATGAAAGAAATTGCTTTTTGAATAGCTGTCCGTGTCCACTGTAGTGACCTCAATGCAGGAAAGGGTTAAGACTGTAATTTTTTAAATATGACTTTTCTACTAACTTTATCCACATTAAATTTGAAAGATTAAATTGGTAAAAATAGACAATTAAAATAACCCAATTTGTTTTTCCTCCAAAGAAGTGATGACTCCTTTATGATGTGTCATTTAATACAATTTTTCCAACTTTCATTTAAAGGGAAAGTAATCAAAAATAACAGTGTGGACAATAAATTGAGGGACATGCAAAAAACCTTTATTATAATTGTTAAAATAAATTTAATAATTGAAGAAAATATATAAATTAGAGATAATCATAATCATTAATCTTGAAATATAATCATTACTGATATACCCAACAATGTAAAAGAAGGAAGGAAAAAAAAAATGTATAGTAAGTGAGGTATTACTCATGAAATTGGAACACACAGGCTTATGATCATCAACTTTCAGTGTTACGGAAAGGGTGAAGCTCAGTTTTTGTCACATGACCTGGGGTGCTCTTGCGGTATTCTGATTAGTTGAGATTTTTTCATCTCTCCGCGGTGAAGACGCATGCGCCTGGAAAAAACGAGCGAGTGAGTACTGCCACTGTTTGAACGTGCAAAAGACGTGACGTGAATGCTGAGACAGCTTTAAAATATATATTGTTCAACATTTTAAGGCCGTAAGATCATGATCTATGCTACGGACACAAAAGGCACTGAATCCCAGGAATGACACACTCGTCGGCAGCCGTCCGTCTCGGGAGACGATGGTGTAGCTCGGTGTGTCTATCTGCACCGCCGGGAATGGCTGTGCAGACCAATTCTAGAGTGGCAGTCCTTGCCGCACTGGGCGCAGGAGAAGGGGGATGGCTGGTCAGGCTGCTGTTGCCGCTGCTTCCGCCTAGCTCTCTTTGCCACGGCAGTGTCGTTTCGTGCCGCTTCTGCTTTGATTGTTGCCTGCCGGACTGCTTGTCGCCAAGCGGAGCGATCATCAGCCAGGCTCTCCCATGCGCTGGGGGCAATGCCGCATTGCTTCAAGTCCTTTTTGCAGACGTCTTTGAAGCGCAATTTGGGGCGCCCTGTGGTTCTGGTGCCTTCAGCCAGCTCGCCGTAGAGGAGGTCTTTGGGGATGCGGCCTGCGTCCATCCTCCTGACATGCCCAAGCCACCGCAGCCGTCTTTCGCTGAGCGTTGCATGCATACTGCTCATGTTGGCTCGTTCCAGCACCTCGGTGTTGGGGATCTTGTCCTGCCACTTGATATGCCGTATGCGACGCAGGCACCGCATGTGGAAGCTGTTGAGTTTCTTCTCGTGCTTTGCGTAGGTGGTCCATGACTCGCTGCCATAGAGGAGCGTACTGAGCACGCAGGCTTGGTACACGCGCAGTCTGGTCGTCTCAGTGAGGCTGGAGTTGTTCCACACTCGCTGATTCAACTTGGCCATGACTGCGGCTGCCTTGGCGATTCTGCTGTTGATCTCAGAGTCGATGGATAGCGAGCTGGAGATCGTGGACCCAAGGTACGTGAAGTTCTCAACAACGTCCAGGCTGTACCCATCGATGGCGGTGTTTGGAGGGGTCTCTGCTCCCTGCATCATGACGTTGGTCTTCTTCAGGCTGATGGTCAATCCAAACTCCTTGCAGGCGTGTGAGAGGCGGTTGACAAGCTGCTGAAGTCCGTCTGCCGTGTGTGAGGTCAAGGCTGCGTCATCAGCGAAGAGCATCTCACGGATGAGTACCCCTGTGACTTTGGTCTTGGCACGGAGACGGGCTATGTTGTAGAGCTTGCCGTCCGACCTGGTGCGGATGTAGACACCCTCGCTGCAGTCTTTGAAGGCGTATTGGAGGAGCATGGAGAAGAAGATACCAAATAGTGTGGGCGCGAGGACGCAGCCTTGTTTCACTCCGCTGCTGACTGGGAAGGCTTCGGATGTTGCGCCGTTGTAGCATACTGTGCTGTGCATATTCTCGTGGAAGGACGTGACCACTGCAAGCAGGTGTGGGGGGCAACCAATCTTCTGCAGCAACCTGAAGAGTCCGCTTCTGCTGACCAGATCAAACGCCTTTGTGAGGTCGATGAAGGCGATGTAGAGTGGCATGTGCTGCTCCTGACACTTCTCCTGCAGCTGGCGTAGTGAGAAGTTCATGTCTACTGTTGATCGGCCATCCCTGAAGCCGCACTGGGACTCGGGGTAGACGCGGGAGGTGAGGGTCTGCAGGCGGGCCAGAGCGACGCGGGCGAACACTTTGCCTACAATGCTGAGGAGGGAGATGCCCCGGTAGTTGTTGCAGTCACTACGGTCTCCCTTGTTCTTGTACAAGGTGACAATGTTAGCGTCTCGCATGTCCTGGGGGATGTAGCCCTGTTCCCAGCAGAGACAGAGGAGGTCGTGGAGTGGTTGTAGCAGGGCTGGTTTCCCGCTCTTTAGAACCTCTGGAGGGATTCCATCGCTCCCTGGCGCCTTCCTGCAGGCAAGGCAGTCGATGGCTTTGCTGAGCTCGTCCATGGTTGGTGGGGTATCTAGCTCCTCCATGACTGGTAGGTCTGGGATGGCGTTGAGAGCCGTGTCAGTCACCACGTTCAGCGTCGCGTATAGCTCGAGGTAGTGATCCGTCCATCGCTTCATCTGCTTTTCCTGGTCGGTGATGACCTCGCCCGTCTTGGACTTGAGGGGGGCGGTCTTGGAGGGGGTTGGGCCTGTTGCCTTCTTGATGCCCTCGTACATCCCTCTTGCGTTTCCTGTCTCGGCAGCTCTCTGTATGCTGCTGCAGAGGTTTAGCCAGTAGGTGTTGGCGCAGTGGCGGGCGGTCTGCTGGGCTTTGTTCCTGGCAGTCCGGAGGGATTGTAGGGTACTAGGGCTTGGATTGGCCTTGTAGGCCAGAAGGGCTTTCCTCTTTGCCTCAGTCACGGGCTCCATTTCTTCCCAGTGGGCCTCGTACCAGTCGGCATTTTTCCGCTCCTTCTTCCCGTAGGCGGTGATGGCGGCGTTGTAAATCGCGTCGCGGAGGCGGGGCCACTTGGAGTCGATGGTGTCATCTGCTGACACTCCCTCGCTGAGGGCGTGTTCCAGCCTGCTGATGAACTGCTGGGTTTTCTCAGGATTGCTGGCGCAGCAGGCATTTATGCGTGGGCGACCCTTCTTCTTGGAGTGGTGCAACCTTTTGGGTGTAGTGTAATGACACACTACACAACCGTTTAACTTTGTTTTCTGTCAGCTGTATCAGGCGAAAGTGTAAACAAGGCTTATGGCTAGTCTAGTATGCAAAAATGTTAAGCATCTGTTAAATGACCACACAGCTATTGACATGTTAAAATACTGGAGAATATTCCCATCTTCCCACAGGAGAAGAAGCAAGCAGGAGGAATTACTCCAGGAGAAACTACGGACATACTATTGTAAAGATGGAGATTAAGGAAGAACCCTGCAGAATAAAAGATGAAGATACAGAGGAACACATAGGTTGGTGTCCATTCTTGATACTTCATTAATAACTGCTATTAAACTATGGATTACTTTTATTTCAGTCTTGAATTGTCTAATGTAATATGTTCATTTAAGGTCTGATGGAACAACGTGAAGTGGAGGAGAAAATCCATCAGTTTCAGAAACCTCAACAAAACACTCAAAAGATGGAGATTAAGGAAGAACCCTGCAGAATAAAAGATGAAGATATAGAGGAACAAATAGGTTGGTGTCCATTCTTGATACTTCATTAAAGGTGGGGTATGTGATTTGCAAAACGGCCGGCAGATTTTGAAAATACACAACTCAAAAGGTCCTACCTTCTTTCCTCCAACGCTGGCCCTGACTCGCTCGAGGGGAATGGGGGGAGGGGGGGATGGTACGACCGTTTGATTGACGCATTTTCTGTCCATTGATTCTAGGTGGTCTTGGAAATGATTGGCTGGAGTTTTTCGAGTCCTGCCCGTTTCACAGATTAGTAAATTGCTTAATTTTCATTTCAGTGCTTCTAACTCAATGGCTGTAAGTGGGTTAGGAATAGGATTTCAAGTGATTTAAAAAAAAAAAAAATCACATACCCCACCTTTAATAACTGCTATTAAACTAGGCATAACTTTTATTTCAATCTTGAATTGTCAAATGTAATATGTTCATTTTAGGTCTGATGGAACAAATTGAAGTGGAGGAGAAACGCCATCAGTTTCAGAAAGTGAAGAAGAGGAAACTTCAAAGAAGAGGAAAGAAATGTTCTTGCACCTGCTCTCAGTGTGGAAAGAGCTTCAAAACTAAACCAGGCTTGAAGACACACATGATAATCCACACCGGAGAGAAACCCTTCACATGCCATCAGTGTGGAAAGAGCTTCCCATGGGCATGTAATCTCAAAAGTCACATGCTGATTCACTCAGGAAAAAGATCATTCCGCTGTGATCAGTGTGAAAAGACATTTGTTTTGGCAGAGCAGCTGAAAAGACACATGAAAATTCATGCAGATGTGGAGCCTCATGTGTGTTCTGTTTGTGGAAAGAGTTTTTCACTGCTCGAATTTTTAAAACGGCATGAGATTATTCATACTGGTGTGAAACCTTATGTGTGCTTGGACTGTGGGAAGAAGTTTTCTAGATCCAATGACTTAAAAACACACCAGAGGATTCATACTGGAGAAAAACCGTACACGTGCTCACACTGTGGACAGAGTTTCGCTCTGTCAGGTGACATGAAAGCTCATGAGAGAATTCATACTGGAGAGAAACCACACAAGTGCTCACACTGTGGAAAGAGTTTCACTCGGTCAGGAACCTTGAAAGATCATGAGAAAATTCATACTGGAGAGAAACCACACAAGTGCTCACACTGTGGAAAGAGTTTCACTCAGTCAGGAACCTTGAAAGATCATGAGAGAGTTCATACCGGAGAGAAACCGTACAAGTGCTCACACTGTGGACAGAGTTTCTCTATGTCAGGAACCTTGAAAAATCATGAGAGAATTCATACTGGAGAGAGACCGTTCAAGTGCTCTTCATGTGGGAAGAGTTTCACCACATTATCACATCAACGGACTCATGAGAAAAAGCATTGTCCAAAGTTACCTAAGTGAGCAAAGTTCACATTCACAAGTAAATAATTTGATATTCATGAACCCCCCTAGACTTTTACACTGTTAAACATTGTCATATGCAAGTTATATGAAGTATCGTAGTTACCCTGTAGGGGTCGCTATGTAAACTGGTTGACTGGGACGTAGAGGTTAATAAGAGAAGACTGTACTTAGCTGGTACGTATGAGGGGATCAATCCCTGCATTTGAATTGTAACTATAACAACTATAACAGCTTCAACTCTTCTGGGAAGGCTTTCCGCAAGGTTTAGGAGTGTGTTTATGGGAATTTTTGACCATTCTTCTAGAAGCGCATTTGTGAGCTCAGGCACTCATGTTGGACGAGAAGGTCTGGCTCGCAGTCTCCGCTCTAATTAATCCCAAAGCTGTTCTATCGGGTTGAAGTCAGGACTCTGTGCAGGACAGTCAAGTTCCTCGACACCAAACTCGCTCATCCATGTCTTCATGGACCTTGCTTTGTGCACTGGTGCGCAGTCATGTTGGAACAGGAACATCCTGAAACTGTTCCCACAAAGTTGGGATCATGAAATTGTCCAAAATGTCTTGGTATGCTGAAGCATTAAGAGTTCCTAACTAAGGGGCCAAGCCCAACCCCTGAAAAACAACCCCACACCATAATTTCCCCTCCACCAAACTTGGCACAATGCAGTCAGGCAAGTAACGTTCTCCTGGCAACCACCAAACCCAGACTCGTTCATCGGATTGACAGAGAGAAGCGTGATTCGTCACTCCAGAATGTGAATTTATGCAGGAAAATGTTCTATGTTGAAGAGTTAAATTAATTACATTAATTGTGCATATGAGAATTTGTGAATTAATGGCAAATTTAGTCCATGAAATCATCATCCACATCATGAACAAATCAATATCGTGATTTTTTTTTTTGTCCAGCTGTTTAGAGGCTGAAGCATATTATTAAAGAGACTTTCTTGCATTGAAATCACACAGAAACTCTGTACATTTTAGACTATGAAAATTAAAAAGGAACAAAACTTGTGTGACATTTTATTTAAAGAATTTACCTGTATACCTGAAATAAAGGGGTTAAATATTGTAACACTGATTAAGTAATATATTTTTTAAACAAAAAAAGCCACCAGATGTTTTTCAATTTATATTTAAAGAGGCGTTTACAATTAAGATGAAATAAAATATCCTCAGTGTCTGTGACATACCTGTTTTACAGCTGCTATCAGGTGTATAGAGATGAACTAACTTTTACTTTACATGAATTTTGGTCAATAATAAGATAAACATGAAATCTTGCTTAACAAATAACTTAAAGGTGAACTAAGTAACTTTTTTACCTTAACCGAACAGCTTTGGAGTCATTGTAATGTTTATATTAGGGGTGCAACGGATTAAAAAACTCACGGTTCGGATTGTTTCTCGGATCAGAATCACGGATCGGATCATTTTTCGGATCAGCAAAAAAGACAAAACTTATGTTTATTTGTCTTAAAAAATGAATTAAATTAAAATATATAAAATCAACTTAAAGTGCACAAGGCATAATATCTTATTTTTAGAGATATTAGGGGGGTTGACTGGTTGAGTTACCGAAACAGGCCAATCAGGATGCTCTCTGTCTTACATGCGCACACACGCAAGGTCTCTCGCTCTCTCCCTCTCTGCCGTTCGCGCGCTATGTATGTTATGCGCGCAGTATGTTCCGTCTCGCACGCGCGCTCTAGATTCCGGGAGATTTTAACTAATTTGAGGGCATCAGGGAGTCCCTGACAGGGAGCCGCAATCAATATGCAGGATTTTTATAAGTTAATTTTTTTAGGTCAATTCAGCGCAACTCCGGACTGTCCGGTCAAAATCCGGACGTATGGCCACCCTACTACACACACCGTCATGGTTTTATCCACTATTTTTAAATATCGGTTGATTAATCGGTCATCGCAAGTCAGTCAAACCTAGTTATTGTATCGGTAAAATCCACTATCGGTCGACCTGTAATTATTAAAATATTTAATTATTATATATGGTCAGTAGAACAATTGAATGTAAATGGAGAGAATGATGAAATAATTGTTGCTTATTTTAGTGCTGTAATAATGTTATAATGTGGGATAAAGGAACTCGGACTTACATGGGCCATTCTACAGAATTGATGCAAACTGCTGTTCACTCTTAAAAATGATGGGTTAAAAATAACACAACTTGGGTTGTTTTATAACCCAACCGCTGGATCAATATTGCACCAGACCAACAGTAGTTATTTTGACCCAGCAAGATGGGTTGGTCATTTTTAACCCAACATTATGAGTTAAATATTTTACCCAAATGCTGGGTCAAATTAAATACAATTCTGGGTTGATTCAACTACATATTGGTTGTACCCACATGCTGGGTCAAATTAATTACAATTCTGGGTTGATTCAACTACATATTTGTTATATAGTGTACCCAAATGCTGGGTGAAATGAACCCATATGCCAGATTAATTCTAACACATTACAGTACAATTTAAGAAAATAAATTGCAATAGACTACCCATAGCTATAAAACTGTTAAACTACAAACCTATAACAGAATACATGCTAGATTTATGCATATATTATGCAATAAACATTTAACAATACAAAAACAAAACAACAATGGAAGCGATATGAATTAATGTAATAAAATAAAAAAAATTCAAAGATTCCATTGTTGTTTTGTTTTTGTATTGTTAAATGTACAAAATACAATATATTAAACAATATAGCAGAACTGGTGCAGTTCATATCACTCAGGTAGGAAAACATTCAGAGCAAAACAACAATTCCGAATTAAATGGCTGAACATTCAACAGGCCAACAGTCTGCTATTAAGAGCCATTAGCTCTACTTGCAAGCAAGTATTCTACTTTGAATAAACTTTACCATTTTAGACTCTCCTCCTGGCATTTGTGGGGGTATGGTTTGCATGCCTTGGCCTCATGGAGGTACTCCACCATGTTTATTCCAGGCTAAAAAAGAAAAAATACAAGAGAGCAAGTGAGAGAGTGCGAGTGAGGACCAAATGTCTACCGACTACTATAGTAGAATTAAAATATAGACATTGTGAGGACCATTTTCCTGGTCCTCACTAGAGAAATTATTGTTTTATGATAAAGTAGCTTTACAATTTGGAAAATATTCAGTGCATCTCTAATTCAAAAAGTTGAACTGTAATAGTCATTTCATTGCACATAACGAAATATTCCAAACCTTTTTGGATTAAGTCTTGATGGTTATGGCATATAGTTCACATTACAGAAAACAATTTAAAAAAGGATTCAGACCTCAATTGACCTAAAAAGGCATAAATCGATTGATGGATCTATCATTACAATAAACATGCTAAGAAAATGCGGGCGACCCACCTATCTGGCCGATAGGCAGCCGGGTTAGTTGGTCAGATAGGTGGCCCGCAAATGCTTTGTAGATTTCGAAGACTTCTTTAGAGTCAACCTCATAGAGTCAGGTCCAAATGGGTTAAAATACAAAAGTGTCAACCTTCTGATAAATATGTAATTTCTGCACTCAATACTTTGTTGGTGCCTGTTTTAGAACAAATGACTGCATCAGTGCGGTGCGGTACAGAGGTCATCAGCATGTGGCACTGCTGAGGTGTTC